TCCCCTGCTGGGTATCTTCCCTAAAGAATTAAAAGAATCATACCACAGTGATATATGTGCACCCTTGTTTATAGCGGCACAGTTTGTAATAGCTAAAGCTTGGAAACAGCCCAAGTGCCCATCAACTGCAAACTAGATAAAGAAGATGCAGTGTTTTTATAAAATGGAGTACTACTCAGCCATAATGAACAAGAAACTAGAGACATTTATAGCTAAATGGATGCATATTGAGGCCATACTCTTTTAAGTGAAATATATAGGACACATGTGTAAATACCAAATAGTTTCTCTAGTGTGAGAAATTGAAAGTTTAAATAAGGATTAAAATGATTAAAATGAATAATTGATAATTTGAAATAGGAAGTAAAGGTCCAAAGGGGTAGGGGTAGGAGGCAAAGGGCAAAGGAAAGAAGGGAATGGAATTAATATGAGAAAATGAAAAAATGGAAACAAAGTCTTTAAAAATAGGGAGGGATGGAGGGGTTGAAGGGAGGGCAGGGGAATGGGGAAAATATTAAGAACCAAGAGAGATTATGTAAAGGTGCAAATCTCCAATGATGAATGTCATTATATTGTACACCTAAAATGTACCAATAAAAGGATATACAAAAACAAAAAAACAAAAACCAAAAAGAAGGGAAAGGAAAAATTATGAGAAAAGAAAAAAATGGAAATGAAATCTATGTAAATAGGAAAGGGTGGAGGGGTGAAGGGTGCACAGGGAATGGGGCAGAAATAAGAACCAAGATACATCATGTACAGGTACAAGCACCCGATGATAAATGTAAACGTATTGTATACTAAAATGTGCCAATAAAAGAATTTAAGAAACAAAACAAAACAAAACAACAACAGATAAGTACATGCACAGTAAGTGTTTTCCCTTCCCAGGAAGGTGGATTCGGAGGTGGGGACATGGTTCCTTAGGAGCCTCACGCAGGCACGGCGTTAACCGGCCGGCTGCACAGCCCGAGTTACCTGTCGCGCCTCAGCAGGGGCGTGGGCAGCACGCTGGTCAGCAGCCATCCGAACTCGGCCAGGGTGTGCAGCAGGGGGCCGTAGTCCGCCTTGACGGCAGTGCCCTGTGGGACGAGGAACAGGGCTCAGGGCTGATGGGCAAGGGGCAGCAGGCCGTGGGGCCCAGGAGGGGCCGGGTCACCTCGAAGCCTCCTCCTCCCCAGCCTCTCCTGCTCCCCGGGGGACGAGTCAGGCGTGAGGCTGGAGGGCCGTGCGAGCTGCTTTCCCAGGGAGCTTCCCTTGTCCCCACACCTCCTGACCCGAGGCTGGGCCGAGGACACCCGGCCCAGGGACCACACAGCCGTTCCGGGACCAAGCGCGGGGCTGGTGCAGGCGTCTGGCCTGCGGGGGGCGGGGGGGGGGCGCGGAACGGCTTTGGGCGCTTTCGCCTTAGGAAGTGACTTCCTAAGTGGGGTGGAGGGCAGAACAGCAGCTGAGTGTCCGTTATTTTCACGTTCAATCAGGTGTCCTGCTCTTGGGCAGAGAAAAATTCAGTGCCGGGGCTTCTGGTTAGGGTTAGAATCCTAATTTTCTCTGGAACCCACTGCACTGCTGGTATTTATGGACAGATAAGGAAAGAACATTCCCTCACACACCCGGTAAGGAAGTGTGGCTCACTCGGGTCGCAGCTCCACATCGTGAACAAGCGTGTGTTTAAGGACCCTGGGGGCTGGGCCCTGTGACCCCTAAGGTACAAAGCTGAACAGAAAGCCAGGCCAGCTGTGGAAGCGCAGCTCACCTCGATGACTGTCCACTGCTCCACCACGATGGCATCGTTCTCTCTCCTGGGAGACCCTGGAAGCCCGGAGCCTTCCTCCTCGTAGATAAAAAATCCCTCCAGAGATTTCGGCAAGTGGTCCCCTGTGGGGAGAAGGACGTAGTTAGAGAGGCTGCAGGTTCGAGTTTCTCTAAAGCTCAGCTGGACTCTCACATACCTAGGAGGAGGCCGAGAGAGAGCAGTCAACTAAAACATCTGCTTTGCTGCATGCTAACACCCTCCCCGTCCCCGAAGGGTTCCTTTTCCCCTTAAAGGTAAACCTGGGTTTATACTGCTCTTCAACTGGAAATCTAATTTTGGTTTCTATTCTGACTGTGCAAATGTTCATTATATCATTACGAGAAACAATGTCAAAAATGTTTAATCCTTATCTGGGTGTGGTGGTGCATGCCTGTAATCCCAGAACTCAGGAGGCTGAGGCAGGAGGATTGCTTCGAGTTCCAGGCCAGCCTAGACTACATAGTGAAACCCTGTCTCAAAATCAAACAAAAAAAAATTTAATTTGAAATTTGAGGTGTGAGTTTAAAATTAGTGTGAGGTAAGATCTTCAAGCAGAACAATTCAGCCATGCATTACCCTCACCCCCATAAATATTGACAGGAAAACCTAAACAGAAGTCATTGTCCAAAGAATTCCTGCAGGGAAGGAAGTTTTAAGGGAAGAAGGGCCTCTGGGACTCTTTCTTGAGTAGCAGACAATAACCAGCTGGCCTACACCAAACTGGTTTTGTGGAAATTCTTTTATCTCCTGTGTTGCAACAGAAGGCATTCTTTCCCATGGTCATGCTCTGGTGACACATTTTGGTTTTTATGCAGCACAGTGTCACATCAAAGTTTCTGTGGTTGCCAGTTCCCTAAATAACAAAGGCCTTCCAAGTTTCCAAATGACGGTTTGGGTTTAAGAATTTAAAAAGACAAAAGTAAATTTCAATGTGTTTTTCAGTCTTAATTTTTATTAACTTCTACTTTTATATTTTCCTTTTATATGTTAGGCAGGTGGTCTACCAGTGAGCTGCAGCAGATTCTAGTTATTTTTATTTAGAGATAAGATCTTGTGATTCTCTCGTCTAAGCCCGTGAGCGGCAGGGACCACCTCTCTAGCAGGGTGCCAACTTCTCGAGCAAATCATTTTGGCTGGTTTTTATTTTTCCTTTTTTTGACATCATTCGTGTTTAGGGATGAACATCACAAAGAACTGGCATTTCAGGGTGCTGTTCCTGGGACAGTAAGGTTAAATGAACCCCGGCTCTGCTTTTCTACTTACCCCGGTGGGGAGCCTGCAACACCCCTAAGACCTGCTGTCCCCAAGTCCTTTCTAAAACCAGGAGCGTGAGGGTGAGAAACCGTCGCACACTGCGACCCCGTGTGGTGTCGTTAGCTGCACTGTGACGAGGAGCCCGAGGGCTCTGGCTGCTCCCTGTCCCGGGTCGGGATGGCTTCTCCGTGACTTGGGCATGCAAGCGCGCGGGCGGCAGATTCACGGGCAGGAATGGCGTCACTGAGCCCGAGCACACGCCGAGCCCCGGGGAGGGCAGCGCTCAGGCCGCTGCGCTCACTTGCAGGTTGGCGGGAGGCTGTGGGGCTGAGGTCCTGGACAGCGTGCTGGGGCCCGCCCTGGTCGCCCTGCGCGGTGGACTGGAGCGAAATCGCAGGTCCTGCTCCCTGGCTCTGAGGCCCGCACGGCCCGGAGCCCCAAGTCTGACCCGGCACCTAGGGCAGGGGTCCTTGTGTCTTAGGGGCGTCCTCCCCACGGAGGTGACAGGCAGCGAGGGGCCACGTGGATGCTGAATCCAACCTTCCCAGTCTCGGGTGCGGTGGGGCTGTCCCGCAGGCTGCCGGGCACCTCGCCAAAGCAACACTCATCTAGGCCAGGCCGGCAGTGTCCCCGCGGGGCTCCTGGTCACTGTGCTGGGGAGCTGTGGGGTGGTGGGTGTCACCCCGATGCGGCACGCTCTCAGTAGTCTCACTCCGCCCGGCCGCCCGCCTCATCTCCAAATGCAAACTTGAGCGAATCTTGGATGGAGCTGCAGTGGACTCCAGGGCCTCGGGCTCGCTTCCCTCCAGGAGAAGAGGCGACCTCACCTCCTGCCCCCGAGGGCCCTGCGGGTCTCTCCACCCGCGCTGCCCCTGCGGATGTAGGGGGCTCTGCGCCTGCTGTCGCCTGCCTGCCTCTGGGCCCAGTGTCAGCGTCCCCTGCCCTGAGGGGCTTCTGCTGAGGTCTGAGGCCACAACACTGCTGCCTTCCCGGCCCCACCACCTGGTCACGTTGGGAGACACCTGTCCGTCCCGTCCCGACACTCCAGTCCTCAGAGAGGGACTGTGAGAGGCACGCCAGGGAAAGTCTGAGAAGTTGCAAAAAGTCAACATGCAGGTCAAGATGTGGCACACGTCTGTAACCCCAGCCCTCTGGGAGGCTGAGGCAGGACAGTACACGTTTGAGCCCAGCCATGGCAGTTTAGCGACTGAGCAAGTCCCAGTCACAAAATGTTTTTTTAAAAGGGGGCAGGGAAGGAGATGGGGATGTAGCTCAGCGCAGAGGCCCCCAGTTCAGTGCCCAGTACCATCAAACACCAAGGAAATAAATAAAACACACCAAAACAAAACAAAGAAATGACAGAGCACAAACTATGACAACACAACAAAGACACGAAAAGCAAAGAAGATTCGGTGCATAAGCAGGCAGACTGCTGGGCTGGGTGTCCTCAGGGTGGGGGGCTCCTGTCCCTTTGGGGACAGACACTGCCCACCTTCCCCTCTGCAGCTCCCCACGGCCGCCCAGGAGGACCTTGAACAACACACCCGGGGCTGCACTGCAGCAGCGCTTCTGGGGGCAGGTGACAGTGGGTGACAGCGGCAGGGTCTGGGGAGATGCCTGGGGTCCCCCATTTTATGATGGGCAAGGCTCGTCTTTAATGGCTCCTTCGTACGCTGTGATTCACCAAAAGGTGAGGACACAGCGCTGTGAGGCCACTCTCACGCTCTGCTTGGCAAAGCCATGCGGTGGACGCTCTGTGAGCTCAGCCGTCGATGGAAACCCAGAGCCTCTCTCTCCCACTAACCCTGCTGCTTCCATGGAGATGTTTCTGGCCCCCAAGATCTGAGATGTTACCTGAGGCCCTGCCCGGTCCGGGAGCTCTGTCCCCGGTGCCTGGCCGGGCCTCACCTGGTGCAGGGGGCTGAGCCCACAGGACGTGCATCCCGCCGATGTCGGGTGCGCACCTGAGCTGTGTGGCCATCACTGAGGGGCCCGGGTGCAGGTGAGACCAGGAGGGCACTCAGATCTCAGGTCTTCTGCTCTTTCCTCTGATGTCAGGGTTAGGGTCCTTGGGCACCCTGGTCTTCAAAACTCCTGTCTCTCTTCATGCTTTTTTTCCCAGTCTCCTTACTAAATTTTCTTTTTCAAAATTTTTTCCTGGTCTTTTTTTAAAGACAGTCTAAGTTTCCCAGGCTGGCCTTGAACTCAAGACCCTCCTGCCTCAGCCTCCCCTGTGCTGGGATTACAGGTGTGTCACCAGGCCTGACACCTAGCTTTTCTTTTAACATTAATTTTTTAAAAAAAATCAAAAAGCATTTTGGGGAAATTTATTGTTTTTCTGAGAGACAAGAATTGAGTATGTATTCTGCTGTAAGTCAAGGAGAAAGGCTGGAGAAGCTGAAAGGCAAAGAGAAAGAGAAGCCACAGCGCGGTCACTGTCACTCCTGGAACCAAAGACGCCTTCTAGGGGAACCTTAGGAAGAGGAACCTCAGGAGGACTCGGGTCTCCCCGCCTCACATGGTGGTAGGACACACTGGGCTACGTGACGCAGGCGCTGGGGAAGCCTCTGGCCCGGCCAGGGGGACCTCACGTCCGAGAGTCCTCCCAGTCAGGCCACTGGGGCTGGCCATGCACGCACGCATCCTGGGTGTCCCTTCTCTCACCAGGGTTTAGGTGAAGCCTCCAGGTGCCGAGCTGTGTGGCGAGTGGCATCTGTTTCCTCAGGGGTCGTTTCTATCCTTTCTGCCATGGAACTCGAGGGGTGAAACATTTTCACCAACTTCAACACAAGGCCAAAGTCTTTATTTTTGTTTGTTTGCTTGTTTGTTTTGTATCGAGGATCAAACTCAGAACCTTGTGCTTGCCAGGCAGGCCTAGTGCCATTGAACTACATCCCTGGCCCTTGGTTTGGTTTTTTGAGACAGGGTCTTACTTTGTAGCCCAGGCAATCCTCCTGCCTCAGCCTCCTGAGTGTGGGGATTATAGGCATTCACCACCAGGAAGTCTTCGGATAGAAATGTATCACTCACGTAAAGTTTACCTTTCGGTGAATCCCAGCACACGAAGGAGTCGATCAAGGACAAGCCCTGCTTGTAATAAAACATGGTCAGCTCCAGCCAGTCGGCGTCCAGCGTGCTGAGGACAGCGCCCTTCCTGGTCACCTTCAGTGACAGCACACCCTCCTGGTAGCTCCAGCAGGCTGGGGTGTCCTCGAAAGCATTGAAGACCGCATACAGCATGCTCTCTGGAGGTGGCATTCGGGAGGAGGAAAGTGCAACGTTAGGACTGAGGGACCAGAGTCTCAGAGCTCACCTAGTCACGTGAGGAAGTGGAGGGACAGTGAAGGTGCCCGCCGCTCCGCCAGTCACTTGTCAGCTACACGCTGGCCACCTGTGCAGAAACGGCTGCAGGGGCTGCAGTGGAACAGTGTCCCAGATGAACACCTGCTACCGCCAGTCTGCTGAGTATGTTTCAGGAAAACTTTGGTTTTTTAATGCACATTTATTTTGTTGGGTTTTTTTTGGTACCGGGGATCGAACTCGGGACCTTGGGCTTACGAGGCAGGTGGTGGAACCACTGAGCTAAATCCTGGGCCTAATGCACATTTATATACCCAGGTTTTGCATTTTATTAGTATCGTACTATTATGTATCTATTTATAAGTTGATTTTGTTTTGATGGTGCTAGGGTTTGAACCCAGGGCCTCGTGCATGCTAGGTAAACTGCCACTGAGCTGTCCCTCCCACTCTGTAGGTTGACTTATCTTTTGCTCAAAGTTATGCCTTTGTGATAAGTAGCTTTATATCTTACTCATTTATTTTAACTACTGTATGGTATTCCAGGTAATTGTTCTCCTTTGATAGATGTAACTACTGTTTCCAGATATTTATTTATTTATCTTTTTGGTTTTTTGAAATAGGATCTCACTATGTAGTCCAGGCTGGTCACTCGAAGTGATCCTCCTGCCTCAGCCTCCTGAGTGCTGGGGTTACAGGTATGTACCACTAACCCCGGCTTCTTTCCAGTTTTTTTAAACAAATATTTTCCATGTCTTCTTGGACATGTGAGCGAGGAGACTGGAATACACATAAACACGGACCTGCTGGGTCGTGTGTTCTACATGGCTGGCAATTGGCAAATTCTTAACCTGTGGCCCAGGGCCCACAGCCCCTGTACGTTTCAGGAAGCAGAATCTCAGCTGCATTACAGACAAGAGCATTCAGGACCTGTGGGGTCCTGTGTGCATCCCATGGCCCCCTTCTCCATCCCCCAGGTAAGAGCTTCCACCATGGGAAAGTTATTACTACGCACATAATTTAAATACTCAGAAGGCAGAATCAAAGACTGATGGCTGGACAAAGCAGTATGCTGGGTGTGGGCCTCCGAGGACAGGAAACAGACCCCAGATTGGACCCCCTGGGAGGCTTACGGGGCAGGGGTGCTAGGCCCACAGCGAGGAGGCTCAGCCCTGCAGCTCACCTCCTGAGGGTCCAACACTTTGCAGACCCCTCCTCACAGCAGCCCTGGGGGTCCCCCCAGCACCCCCTCTTCATAAGGAAGCTGAGGCATCTGACTCTGGAGCCCAGGCTGCTACCTTGAAGCAGACAGAGCCTTTGATGTTCTGTGACAGTGCTGTTTAGAACCAAGCCTGTTGCCAGGCGTGGTGGTGCATGCCTGTAACCCCAGAACTTGGGAGGCTGAGGCAGGAGGATTGCTTCGAGTTTGAAGTCAGCCTGGGGTACATAGTGAGTTCGAGACCAGCCTGAACTACACAGCCAGACCCTGTCTAAAAACCAAAACCAAAACCAAAAAACAGAAACCAAGTCTCTAAAGGTGTTGGAAAACGTGAACAGCCCCATATAAATATAATACCTCTCAGTGGTGGCTTGGGAAAATCTGCATATTGGTGACCAAGAACAAAGCCATTGACTAAAGTTACTTCCAGTGCAGGGCTGCTGTTGGAATAATTGCTTCATCGTGAAGTGCTGTTTCATATTCTAGTTGATGAGCAGAGGAAGCCTCAAAGGTGACAGGGAAAAGGCCCCATGGAAAATCCTCACACAGCTTCCAGGACCAAGATGAACAGCACACGGGCTGGAACTGCCATGAGGAAACTAACTGTCCACCCCAGGACCATGTGGCATGGGTCTGGAGACCTCCTAACAGTGTCTCCAGAGTTAGAGCAAAATTAAAAATGGTTCTAGAAATCTCTCAAAATAACTTTCCCAAATAATTCTCATCATGAAAGAAGATAGTGATTTAAAAGCCCAAAGCACAGTGATATTTGCTTGATATTGACACAGAAGAATCAAAAGATGAATTCTTTATTTTTTTGAGATGGGGTCTCACTCTGTTCCCCAGCCTGGACTCGAACTCGTGGGCTCAAGTGATCCTCCTGCCTCAGCCTCAACCCAGCTTCATAATGTGGATGGCCCTGGGAACCCGCTAGCCGGTACTGTGGTCTGAAACTCCTCCGGCCTTCTTCCTGCTCTGGGGATTTAAAAAAAATCGTGCACAGTTTGTATTAATTCTTTTTTTTTTTTTTTTTGGTATGGAGGATCGAGCTCGGGTCCTTGTGCTTGCGCAGCAGGTGGCGAAACCACTGAGCTAAATCCCCGGCCCTGTATTAATTCTTTTAATCTTCATAGTCTTCAGAAATTTACTTTGAGAAAACCTTCAAAAAGGTTTTGCTTCAAAAATGTATTTTGCTAAGTTGAATCTAGGACCGTATTCTCTTTTTTTTCATTTTGTTCATTCGTTTTTGAGACAGTGTCTTTCTTTCTTTTTTGGGGGGACCGGGGATCAAACTCGACCTTGCACTTGCAAGGCAGGCGCCGGAACCACTGAGCTAAATCCCCTCTTTTCTTTTTTCTTTTTTCTTTTTTTTTTGGTGCCAGGGATTGAATTCAGGACCTTGTGCTTTTGAGGCAGGCGGCAGAACCACTAGGCTAAATCCCGGCCCCAAGACAGCGTCTTTCTATGTGGCCCGGACTGGCCTCGAACCATGGCGACCCTCCGGCCCCAGCCCCTGAGCCAGTGTGCAGTGGCCCGCTCCGCGCCCCCGACTCCGCTTGTGCTTACCTTCTCCCTTCCTTGGCGTGGAGGGGCTGGGGCTGCCGTCGCCCTCCCGGCGGGACTCCTCCCCAGGGTCACCTTCCCACACCGGCCCGCTGCCCGGCCCCTTGCCCCGGCCCGGCCAGCTGTCGTCCGGCTCCGCACCAGCGTCCCGGCCGGCCTCGTTGCAGCACCTGGGTGGGGCACGCAGCTGCGGAGTGAAGCCCACGAACCGCATTCCTCTGCGGGCAGCAGCGTTGATCTGAGGGCGCAGAGAGCACAATAGGCTGTCTCGGGCTGCAGGGCCCGCGGTGGCCCCAGCTCCAGACACAGACAGCTGGACCTTTCCAGCCCAGCAAGGCCAGGACGCCCCAGACCCCCGGCGGCACCGCCACGTAGTCCTCACGCTTCAGGAGACACAATTTGTTCATTTATTTAAGAAATTTTATTGCATTTTTTCCCATGCTCCCTTCGCCCCCTCCCCTCCCCTCCCCTCCCTGTGTACAAAGCTTTCTTCCCACTTTTCCTTCTATTTTCACTTTTTTCTCGTCCCTTCCTTCCTTTCTCCTCTCTTGTTCCCCTTCCCATTTGAACGCTTTCTTCCCATTTCCCAGCATCTGTTATACATCCCAGTCCTTATTGCCACTTTCGGTTGCTCACAGCAGAGAAACAATGCGGTATTTACACATGAGCGTCTGATCTATTTCACTTAGGAGTATGGTCTAAGCTGCATCCATTTAGCTAGAAATGTCTGAGGCTCATCCTTCTTTATGCAGAGTAGAACTCCATTGTATAAAAAACCCCTTTTTCTTCTTTATCCACTTGTCAGTTGATGGGCACTTGGGCTGTTTCCAAGCTTTAGCTATTACAAACTGTGCTGCTATAAACATGGGTGAGCATATATCGCTGTGGTATGATTCTTTTTTGGGTTTTTTTTTTTTTTTGGTACCGGGGATGGAACTCGGGTCCTTGAGCTTGTGCAGCAGGTGGTGAAACCACTGAGCTAAATCCCCGGCCCTGATTCTTTTATTTCTTTCGGGAAGATACCACAAAGGGGAACAGCTGGGTTAAATGGAACCTCTAGTTTTAGTTCTTTGAGGTATCTCCATACTGACTTCCTCAGTGGTTGCAACAGTCTGCACTCCCAACAGTGAAGAAGGGTTCCTTTCTCCCCACAACCCCACCAGCATTTGTTATTGGTTGATTTCTTGATAGCAGCCATTCTTTCTGGAGTGAGGTGGAATCTCAGTGTTGTTTTCATCTGCATCTCTCAAATGACCAGTGATGTTGAATATTTTTTCATATATTTATTTGCCGTTTCTACTTCTTTGTCTAAGAAATATCTGTTCATTTCAGATGTCCATGTTTGGATTGGGTCTTTAAATTTGGGAGGTCTGATTTTTTTTTGAGTTCTTTATATAGTCTAGATAATAGTCCTTTATCTGAATGGCTGGTAAAATTTTTTTCCCATGCTGTGGTTTGTCTCTTCATGCTGCTGGTGGTTTCTCTTGCAGTGCAAAAGCTTTTTTTTTTTTTTTTTAGTGCAAAAGCTTTTTAATAAGATGAGGTCCCAGTCATTGATTCTTTGTAGTATTTCCCGTGTGGTCTGGGTTTTGTTCATGAAGTCTTTGCCTACTCCTATGTCCTCAAGCATTCTACCTGATCTCTCTTCCAGCAGATTTAGTGTTTCCGTTTTAATATTTAGATCTCTGACCCATTTCCATTTTAGATTAGTACGTGGTGAGAGATATGGGTCTAGTTTCAATCTTCAGCATGTGGAAAGCCAGTTTTTCCAGCACCATTTATTAAAGAGTGAGGGTGCTTGTCTTCTTTGCCAAAAATAAGGTGGCTGAGTATGTCTGGAGTTGTTTCTGCATCCTCTAGTTTGTCCCATTGATCCTCAAGTCTATTCTTTTGCCAGCGCCATGCTGTTTTTGTTTTTTGTTAAATCAACATAGCTCTGTAGCATAATTTCAAGTCCGGGATTGTGATGCCCCTGCCTTGCCTTTCTTGCCCAGAATTGCCTTCGCTGTTCTAGGTCTTTTCTGGTTCCAAATGAATTTTAGGATCGTTTTTCTAATTCTGTGAGATATGCTCTTGGTAGTTTGATTGGGATTGCACTGAATCTGTATAGCAGTTTTGGAAGTATGGCCATTTTCACTTATTTGTTCTTCCTATCCAAGAACAAGGGATGTCTTTCGATTTTCTGATATTCTCTTCGATCTCCCTTTTCAGAGTACTGTAGTTTTCAGTGTAGAGGTCTTTTACTTCCTCCGTTAGATTGAGTCCTAGGTACTTTTTTTTTTTGTAGTACCAGGGATTGAACTCAGGACCTTGCACTTTCGAGGCAGGTGTGGTGCCACTGAGCTAAATCCCCAGTGGTACTTCATTTTTTGGATGCTATTGTGAAAGGGATTGTTTCTTTAATTTCTCTCTCAGCGAGTCTGTTATTTGTGTACAGGAAGGCTATTGCATTTTGAGTGTATCCACTCAAATTTGACTTTGTATCCGGCTACGCCACTGAATTTGGTTATCAAATCTAAAAGTCTTTTGGTGGAGTTTTGGGGATATGAAGATATAATTTAAATGCAGAAAACCCACAGTAATGTTTGCTTGGTGTTGATGAAGAAGTTAAAGAGTAATTCTTTCTGTTTTCAGATGGGGTCTCACTCTGTTCTGCAGGCTGGGCTGGGACTCGGGATCCCCCTGCTTCAGCCTTCTGAGTACTGGGACAATTGGCCTGGCCGCCACAGCTAGTGGAAAGACCAACTCCAGGCGTGGACATGTGGGGAGCCCAGGTCCCACCCAGTCCCGGGCCCTTTCCGGGCTCCTCCACCTGCGTCGCTGTGCCGTTGTCCCGCATCTGGGCAGGATCCACGGTCAGCTTTAATCCCATGCACACACCTGCCACATTCACCTGCCCCTGCCCGAGCCACAGTTGGCTTCCCCTCACTCTGCCCCCTCTCTATTCGAGTCTCTCCTGTGCTCACTCGAGTTCTTCTAAGGGCAGGGGCTTTGTCCGATCAGACTTCGTTTTGCAGTGCTTTGTCCTTCTAGGACCTAGAACATAGGTGCTGGACTAAGTACTTGTTAAGTTAGAGTGAAGAGCTAGCATCGTTCTTCCCAGTGTTTGAAGTGCTTTACCTAGGGGTTTTGAAGCCTGTCTGGGTCGCAAGAAGAGCTGTGGTGGGTGGGCAAAGGAGACGTCTGCAGCCGCCAGGAGGGGGAAGAAAGACCCAGGAAGAGTCGGAGCAGGACCAAGCACGGGCCGTCCCAGGGACGCACCTGGGCCTTGAGGATGAGGCAGGACGCTTGCGGGCTGCGGTGCGGTCGACTCGCCTCCTCCTGTACCAACACTTTGGGGCTGTAACCAGCGGAGCCTTTGGTAGCCGCAGCTTTCCTCTGCTCCAAGTCCTGGGAGGCAGGTGAGGTGCCCACAGCGCCACTGGGTGGGTGCCGGTCTGAGCCAGGCAAGCAGAAAGGCCCGGCTACCGCTAGCAGCCCTCGTCTGGGAGGCCGCCTGGTAACAGACAGCATCCACGTGCTTTCCAGGTTCCACGTGGAGTGCTGCGATTTTACTTTTCCCAGCCCAAGGGGTAAAGAACGCTTGTCAACCCCAGAGCAAGGGCTGTGGGTACAGCTCAGAGGAGAGCTTGCCTCAAGGCATGAAGCCTGCTCCGCCCAGCACCAGAAAGACCAACACGGAGCTAGCCTTGGGGGACACTGAGACTTGGTGTGAAGCCAGCGTCCAAAACCAGCTCTGCACACAAGGCGGCTACTCAGAAAAAACCCCAGGCTTTACCTAGCGCCCTGGTTCCCACTTGATGCAGTGTCCAGACGGCTCAGGAGCTGCTTTTCCTGCAGCCCGGGCCTCCATGGAAGGCCTCCTCACCCAGATTGCTGCAATAACAGTGCTTTCCTGTTTCGTGGATTTTAAGCTGTGTCCAGGAAGTCAGATGCCAACCACGGCACTGCAGGAAGCCTGTAAAGACCAAACCAGCAGCTACCTTTGTGTTTTCAAAAGAAGCTTCATGGAGTGATGAACTCATTCCCAGAAAAAGTGTTAGATTTCCCAGAATAGCAGACGCAATCGTGTGTGTCCTTGTTTATAAACGTCTAGTCTAAAGGCTGTTCCTCTGCCTGCACTGAGCAGTGACATCATCTCTAGCCAGCAGAGGCCTCAGCAGACCCCACTCGAGCACAGCTAAGCTTCGACCAGGTCGAAGCAGGGGACAAGCTTCACCTTCTCTTACCTGACAGGAACTGCCTTAGGTGTTGGGCTGTAGGCCTTTAATAAGAGCTAAAAACCTGGAGATATGTCGATACAAATAAACCACAAACAGGAAACAAACAAAAGCCTTCATCGTAAAGCCCTATCATCGTGGACTGTTTATGAACATACCATTTTTCCTGGTTTGAATCAATCTAGGTAAATGTCCACCTTCACTTTAAGTTCTGACTAACTTCTAGTGTATAGATTTACTCTCTGGATAGTCAATTACTTGTCATGTTTCATGCCCATAAAATTCTTGATTACATTGATAACCACTGTCTCCTTCCTAGACTTCCAGTCATTGGAAACATTATTCACTGGTGATTACCTATCTCTATATGAAAATGACCTTTTCTCTTTTCATATTACTTTTTGGAATAGACTGCTAAGGAAGAGGGTGCTAGTTTCTGAAATTAACTGGGACTGAGGATGTTTATTTCCAAATTGGGATTCAGGAACACTGTGCTGGGCATGACAAAGCCAGCTGCGACGCGGATGTTAACTTGTCTTGAAGCTTTTCTGACACTGGATTTAATCATTTCCACTGTATTTCCCAGTTTAACAGTGGAGAGGTATTAATTCTCAATTTTTTTTTTACATTAAAAATGATTTGGTTGAATCTGCACCCGGTATCTTGTTAGTAGGTCTTTCTCTTTGCATCTGCAGCCCAGCCCTCCACTGTCCCAGACTGACGTCACATCGTGTGTTTACACCAGTTTCCTGTGTGCTCCGTCGGACACCTTTGCTGTTTTCTCTAAGTTAATTTTTCGGGTGCACATTTATATTTATGGCCTCAGACCCCTCAATCTTCTCAACTCACGTGCTTGCTTTTCTATTTTCTCTCAGGTTCTTTCTATTTTAAAAAGTCATCCCACATCTCATCTGAAATGCGGAACCTACTGCATTTTCTACAGAATAAATGCCCACTTTCTCTGTTTATCATGTGATGGTTATTTTTCCACTTTCTCTTAACAAGTTTGTTGCTATGTGGTTACCTCCATTATGTTTCATTGGTCTGGTCTGCTTTTCTGGTGCATGCGTGTGTCTGTGTGTGTGTGTGTCTGTGTGTGTGTGTGTGCATGTGTGTGTGTGTTGAGACAGAATCACACTGTGTAGTCCAGGTGGTCTTGAACTCATGGCAGTCCTCCTGCCTCGGCCTCCCAAGTGCTGGGATTACAGGTGTGGGCCACCACGCCTAGCTGTTTTTCTGTTTTTCAAGCAGTACAATTTGGTACAAGTGCCTCACTGTTTTACAGTCAGGTAGAGTAAGTAGTCTACTGCTTCTTTATTCTTTTAAATGTAAAAAAGAAGAAGCTGAGAAAGAGGAGCCCTTTCCCAGGGGCCATATAACATGCACCCCCATACCTTCTGTATCAGCTCCTTGGCGATATCTCTGGCCTGCATGTCCTCTGGGATGGGACACTCCTCAATGACCAGCCGTGGGTGCCTCTGTGTGCTGGGTGCTGCCGGCCGCTTGGGGCTGCAACAGAGAGAACTTGTTCAGGCTGGCGGCAGCGTCTGGGATGTGGTCATGGCACGGGAGCAGCTCGCAGGCCAGGCCAGGGACTCTAAGTTGATTTCTATTTTCATCAGCCCACGTTTGCAGTGGGTCTGATCACATGCCTCTCAGGAGCTGGTGCATGTCCACAGCGAAGCTCTGCTCCCACCTGACCCCCTCCTCTGTCTCCATTCCTGCCCGCTGCCCTGTCCCCTCCCCATCTTTTATTTGTCCAGGCGGTCTGGTGTTGTTGTTTCAAGCCTGGTGGTTCTCTTCTCATAAAAACACCAGAAGCACAGTCACTTCTACTAACTTAAAGTTCCTCGATCCGAACTTCTAGTAATTTAATTTCTAATCTCAAATGAACGAGCTTGGTGTCTGTCATTTCAATAAACGCTAGGAGAGGGCCGGGGATTCAGTTCAGCTTCCTTGCCTGCTGAACAAGCGCAAGGACCAGAGTTCAATCCCTGGTACCAAAAAAAAAAGCTAGGAGAAATGATTCTGGGTCGTTGTTACACCTCACGGATACACAGAGACAGGTGAGCACCCTCTGCTTTTCCTCTTCCCTTGCTGGCCTTTCTCTCCTTGCCCATTCTTAGCCTCATCCGGGCACTGCTAACCTGAGCAATGCTGAGTGGGAAGGTCACTCATTTGCACAGGGCTCACGAGGGCTGCGGTCTGGGTAGCACTGCTAACACGGGTTTTCTCAGCGACCCCAAACTGCTCAGCACCCGTGGGGACTCTGAGACCGGGCACAGGACACGGGTGCCTGCCGGCTTTAAAACGCACCACCAATTTTGTTTTGTTTTGGTGTTTTGGTTTTTGAGACAGGCTGGTCTTGAACTCACTATGCAGCCCAGGTTGGCCTGGAACTTCCAGTGATTCTTCTGCCTCAGCCTCCAGAGTGCTGGGGTTTCAGGTTTGCACCACTACACCTGGGCCACTTAGGTTTTTCCTCTCTCTCTCCCTCCCTTGCCTTTTTTTTTTTGCATGGCTCTGGGGATCAAAGGGAGGACCTGGTGCATGCTAGGCTACCACTTTACCACTGGGCCAATCCCCCCAACACCTGCAATGTTTCAACCCCCTCCGAATCCTCCAATTTTCCTGTTTCCTCACTGTTTTCCTCTTAGTTCATTTGTCGTTCACCCTTTCACAGTTAAAGTGATTGGTGTTTATCACTATAAAGACAGAACAGTTTTCTTTCTGGTTTTTGAGATGCTTTGGAAGAGTTCTGTAAAAAAATGTGTTAATTTAGAGCATTGTTTCGGTTATTTCCTTTTTTTTTTAGAACTTAAAATGCAGTTCTAATTCTATTTGTTTTTGGTTGGTATGTTTCGGTTATTTTCATTCTTCACTGGAAAGAGCAACAGCATTTTTACCATAAAAGCTGCCAAATATGCGATCTAGGCATTCAAAAGTGGTTGTATGACCATCTCAACAGACACAGAAAAAGCATTTGACAAAATCCAACATGCATTTATGATAAAAACCCTACAAAAAATTGGAATAGATGGTCTCTACCTCAATCTGAT